CGTAGTAATAAAAGGAAATGTCTTGGATTATTAGTCACTGATCGCAAAAACAGTAAACAAATTTGGAAAGCAATCAATACTGCCAATTCTGAGGGTAAATCTCATGATTGTTCTTCCATTCCTGTTGCCCCTGATATTTTTAATGCTCATTTTGTTAATGTTACTAAGTCCATTATACCTAGTCCATCAAATCATTTAGATCGTTCTTCCTCTAAAGTGATATCTACATTTGTATCTATTTATCGTGAAAACAATACCTTGTGTCATCTTCCCTACATATCAAAATTTGATGTATTCCAATATCTTCATTCTCTTGATACTTCCAAATTAAAAGGATTAGATCAAGTTGGTCCTCATTTTCTTAAACTTGGTGCTCCAATTCTTTGTCATTCATTGACATTTATTTATAATCTTTGTATAGATAAGAACATTTTTCCGTCCACCCTTAAACAGGCTAAAGTTCTTCCAATTTATAAATCAGGTCCAAAATCCCAGCCCAATAATTATCGTCCCATATCTATACTTCAAACTATTTCTAAACCCTTGAAAAAGCATATTTGTAAACACAAACACGATTTACTTTATTCTCATCAGTCTGGTTTTAGGTCCAAATTTTCTTGTCATACTGCTCTTACAAATATTGCAGAAAATGTTTATTCTGCCATTAATAAAGGTCAATACACTGGTTTAGTTTTCTTTGATTTCCGTAAAGCCTTTGATATGGTCAACCACTCCCTGTTACTTGAGAAACTAAAATTATACCAAATTTCTACCAAATTATGCACATTATTAGAATCGTACTGATCTGAGCGTTATCAATGCACTCAAATTGTTGAAACCAAGTCCTCTCTTGATCTCATAACTCATGGTGTTCCTCAAGGCTCCCTTCTTGGACCACTACTATTTAACCTGTTTTTTAAAGACCTGATGATCAATGAATCTAAAACTAAATGTATGATTATTGCTTCAAAACCTAAAATAAATTCCTTATCTACACATTTGTCTATTTCTATTAATTCTACCTTCATTGAACATGTTTCCGACTTTAAACTCTTAGGAGTATATTTCGACTCTAATCTTTCTTGGGACACTCATGTAAACCATTTATGTACTATTTTAAAACAGAAAAACTTTCAACTTAGGAAAATCAAATCATTACTTCCAACTGATGTATTAAAATTATTTTATAACGCTCACTTTCAATCAAATCTTGACTACTGCACTACCATTAGGGACTCCTGTCAAATTTCTTTTCTTCATAAAATTAAAATTATCCAAAAATTATCATCTAAAATTATATTCAACAAACCTATTATTAAAGATAGGTTGCCAGGCAACCCACAGCAACTAAATCGTCCGGGCAGTCAACAAGGGTTGTGCATCGACGAACTGTGTCCTGTTCTTACTTATATTGTGAATACATCATTGTCAACTGGCACCTTCCCTGATGTTCTGAAAGTTTTTCCCTTAATCAAAGATAGGTTGCCAGGCAACAAAACATACGCCCACAGCAGCTATATCGTCCGGGCAGTCAACAAGGGTTGTCGCATATTTTTACTTTTTTCGGTAATGAAACATTTATAATACACTAAAATCTGATTAAGAGCAACAACTCCCGAAGTAATTATCAGAAAACTATTAGAATTTGTTTGGTTTTTATAAAGTTCTGCCCCATGCTAACGTTTTGTATAGAAAGCTTTTAATATCATGGATTTAACTGTTCAAGTCATAAAAATTCATTGAAAATCAATATACATGTTCGTCTCAAGATCTTAAAATCTGTGTATCAATCTGAAGTCAATCGGATGAAACTTTAGCCTTTAGAGCATCACAAGATTTTGCAAAGTGATCAAGGGCCATAACTTTGGCAGTAATTATCGGAAATCGTTGACAATCAATAGGAATCTTCGTCTCATGACCTCAAACACTGTGTATAAATTTAAACTCAATTGGATATTAACTTTAGCCTCTAGAGCATCCACAAGATTTTTTGAAGTGATCAAGGGCCATAACTCTGGCAGGAATTATCAGAAATCGCTGAAAATCAATAGGCTTTTTCGTCTCATGACCTTAAACACTGTGTATAAATTGAAAGTCAATCGGATATTAACTTTGGCCTCTAGAGCGTCCACAAGATTTTTCAAAGTGATCAAGGGCCATAACTCTGGCAGCAAATATTGGAAATCGCTGAAAATCAATAGGCTTCTTCGTCTCATGACCTTAAACACTGTATAAATTTAAAGTCAATCATATATTAACTTTCGCTTCTAGAGCATCCACAAGATTTTTTGAAGTGATCAAGGGCCATAACTCTGGCAGTAATTATCAGAAATCAGTAATTATCAATAGGCTTCATCATCTTTTAACCTTAAACACTGTGTATAAATTTAATGTCAATCGGATGTTAACTTTAGCCTCTAGAGCATCCACAAGATTTTTTGAAGTAATCAAGGGCCATAACTCTGGCAGTTATTATCGGAAATCGTTGAAAATCAATAGGTTTCTTCGTCTCATGACCTTAAACATTGTGTATAAATTGAAAGTCAATCGGATATTAACTTTGGCCTTTAGAGCATCCACAAGATTTTTTGAAGTGATCAAGGGCCATAACTCTGGCAGTAATTATCGGAAATCGCTGAAAATCAATAGGCTTCTTCGTCTCATGACCTTAAACACTGTGTATAAATTTAAAGTCAATCGGATATTAACTTTGGCCTTTAGAGCGTCCACAAGATTTTTTGAAGTGATCAAGGGCCATAACTCTAGCAGTAATTATCGGAAATCGTTGAAAATCAATTGGCTTCTTGTTTCATGACCTCAAACACTGTGTATAAATTTAAGGTCAATTGGATATTAACTTTGGCCTGTAGAGCGTCCACCAGATTTCTCAAAGTGATCAAGGGCCATAACTCTGGCAGTAATTATCGGAAATTGCTGAAAATCAATAGGCTTCTTCGTCTCAAGACCTTAAACACTGTGTATAAATTTAAAGTCAATCAGATATTAACTTTAGACGGACGGGGGCGACGACAATATACGACCACATTTCAATGTGGGCGTATAAAAATAATCCTTCTGATTCTTCATATTCCATTCTTTCAAAATCTTTAAAACTGCCTACCATTCAACAACGTCATTTAATGAATATATATATATTTCTGTTCAAAATATTAAACTATAAAAGTCCAAATTACTTGTGTTCCTTTTTTCAATTTAAAAATACTCCTTACAACTCTATAAATCTTAAATTACAAATTCCACATCCAAATTGTACTAAATTTAAACATAGTCTTAGTTATAATGGACCAGTTTTATGGAATTCACTTCCAAATAATTTTAACTCATTGCATGTTCTCTTAACTTTTAAAAAATCACTGCATAATTATATCCATAATTATATTCTGTATATTTAAATTTAAACCATTATCGTTTTCTGCATTTGATGTTATTTGTATGTATAATGTTTCCTTGTATGTATAATATATGTGTATGTTTGTTTTGTCTATTGTCATTTAAGAGCAGAATTGTAAACAGGCTGCAAAGCCTAATTTTTCACCCTTTTGAAAATAAAGAATTTATTATTATTATTATTATGTCCCCTGCTGAAATCCCAAAATAAATAGATGAAACATATTAATTAATTGCACATTTATTTTTTTCAAAAGTATCGAGCAATCAAACTGATTATCAACTATATATACTAAGTTTCTTCACTCTCTATCAGATAGAATCAAAGTTATCTTGTCTCAAATCATCGACCAATGAAAATGCTTAGCTCTGCTTATCTTAGCTTAAGCTCGAAATGTTAATCATTGAACTCAGTCAAGACATTCAGCTAATGAACATCTACCTCAATTAGAAGCCGAGTTGTTTTTTTTTTGTTCCAAAGCCTTGACCAATCAAATTGCTTATCGCTTCTTAGCCTAAGCAGAAAAGAACTTAGTCAAGGTAATGATATAATGAATCTATACTCGGAGTTTCATCACTCTCACTTAATTATAACCAAAGTTATCGTGCCGCAAAGCATCAAACAATCAGATTGCTTATCTCTGCTTACCGTAAACAGATAATGTTCATCATCAAACTTCATTAAGGCATTCACCTAATGAACACCTACACCAAGTTTGAACATTCTACATCAATTAGGAGAGTTATTGTGTTCCTATGTCTCGTCCATTCAAATTGCTTATCGCTCTGCTTACCCTCAGCAGAAAATATTCATTATCAAACTTAGTCAAGGTATTGATGTAATAAAACTTCCACCAAATTTCATCACTCTCACTTAATTAGAACTAAAGTTATCGTGTCCCAAAGCATCAACCAATCAAATTGCTTATCTCGGCTTACCCTAAGCATAAAATGCTCATCTTCAAACTCCATCAAGGCATTGACCTAATAAACACCTACACCAAGTTTGAACATTCTAGCTCAATTAGAAGGAGAATTGTTGTGTTTTAATAGTCCCCTGCTTTGTTTGAAAGGCGAGGGACAAAAATATTTACCTGATATAGGTTCTGATTGAAATGCAAAGTTCCCCTTATATTGGCCTGTAAGTGTAGACTTCTGAACGTGGTGTAAAATCAACCAAATTGCATCATATTGCATGCCAAAAAACGCAAAATTTTCGCCCATGGAAGGTGGAAGGTGGGGGTGAATGGCCACATCATCGAACTTCTGTCTGTCAAGAAATTAGCTGCCTAATCTAATCCTTTATTCACCTACAGCAATATTTAATGCAACCCCTGTGTAACGGTGATATAATACTTGAACGGATTTTAAAATTAAATAAAAATTGTGACTTCTAGAGAGGGTCCACAAGATAACAAGCGGTTGCCATGCGATATATACGCCAACATTTTGCAAGAGGACAGAGAACAAGCTAAAAAAGCCATTTTTCGTACAATCAGGAGCCTTAATCTTGTATAATCTGTTTTGTCCTGCAGCTTTCCTATTTTGTCTATTTCATTTGTCACTAAAAAGGCACGAAAGAAATTTTTTACCTTGTAAACATGGCTGAAGCTTGAGCGTCTGTTTGCCCTGGTAGTAGTGTCCTCTTCACATATTGAGCTGCTGTTTCTGTAACACCTGGTATACCTGATCTTGACATCTGTACGCCAAGTAAGAATCAATAAATGAAGAATTTGCTAATATAAACAAATACTACTAGTAAGTAGTAGTTCACTAAATTAATTTCTAGAGCAATTATAACTGGGTAAAATAATTTAGAAAACAGTTGTTCCTTATTTATTCGTTTGTAGCTAAATACTGATTAAGCATTAAATATGGAAAATATTGAGGTCAATCTGATTAAAACACAGATCCTATTTCGTTTTGTTTTTTATAGTTCAAAATTTTCGTTTCTTGGTCTGTACTACACTAGGATCTGGAAGAATTGTTATTATATAACCTGTATTCTGGATGGCGTGAGGGATTAACCAATGCAACGGTCTTTTATGGCGACTTCTTGGCATGCAATCTACGGAACTGTGGATAAACCACTTGAAGAAACGTCAACACTGATTGATTATTCAATGTCTGACGTCATACTAGTGTCAAAAGTCACTAGTACGACCTCTGACATGAGCTTCCAGTACAACTGGTCAAATCTTCATACAGTAGAGGCCATCGAAAGTATAAAAGATATATTACGAGGCAATGAAACATATGCCACAGCAGCTAAATCGTCCAGGTCGTCAACAAGAGTTGTTGCATATTTTTACTTTTGTCGGTAATGAAACATTTAGTATACAAAACATTTAATATCATGGATTTAGCTGTTCAAGTTATCAAAAATCATTGAAAATCAATACACATGTACTTGTTCGTCACATGACCTTAAACTCTGTGTATCAACCTAAAGTCAATCGAAACGATTATATATAGGCGTAAACATAGTGTATAAATATAAAATCAATCAGATGGTAACTATGGTTTCTAAGGCATCCACAAGATTTTTCAAAGTGATCAAGTGCCATACCTCAGACAGTAATCATCGGAAATCGTTGAAAATCAATAGGCTTTTTCGTCTCATGACCTTAAACACTGTGTATAAATTTAAAGTCAATTGAATATTGACTTTAGCCTCTAGAGCGTCCACAAGATTTTTCAAAGTGATCGAGGGCCATAACTCTGGCAGTAATTATCAGAAATCTGTCAAAATTGATAGGCTTCTTCGTCTCATGATCTTAAACAATGTGTATCAATTTAAAGTCAATCGGATACTAACTTTAGCCTCTAGAGCGTTCATAATATTTTTGAAAGTGATCAAGGGCCATAACTCTAGCAGCAATTATCTGAAACTGGTGAAAATCAATAGGCTTCTTCGTCTCATGACCTTAAACACTGTGTATAAATTTAAAGTTTATTGGATATTAACTTTAGCCTCTAGAGTGTCCACAAGCAATTGTGGATGCAAGACCGACGGACGGACAGGGGCGACGACAATATACGACTACAATTCGATGTGGGCATATAAAAACGAAACGAAATATAAAATCTGTATTGTATTGAGGTGCACCTCTTTTTATTGACCTTTATGTTGTTATCATAAATATTAATCAGAATACAATATAACATAAGAAATATTTGTAGTTGAAGTCTATTAAAGTGTGAGTGAAAGCTTATTGGCTCTTTTTGATGAGGCTGACGACTTCTGATGACCTAATTTTAGCTCCTGTTAACCTCAACTAAATATGTCTGATAGTCAAAATTTGGGAAAAGAAAACCTGCTCTAGAGTATCCACAAAATTTCTCAAAGTGATCAAGGGCCATAACTCTGGCAGTAATTATGGGAAAGTGTTGAAATTTATTAGGCTACACTTCATCCCATGAACATAACACTGTACAAATTTGAAGTCAATCAAATGTTAACTTGAGTCTCTATAAATAATGATACAGAGTGCAGAATACACCCACACTGCAGCTTTGTCTCAGCTGTAGCTTATTCGAAAGGAAAACTTAGATGTTGAGCAAATTTGACCAGCGGCTGCCAGGCAGGATACGCCCACATTTTCGAGAGATGGATTTGTCCTACAATCAAGGGCCATAATTCAGGAAATTACAATTCGATATGAGGAAATTACAATTCGATATGCGCAAATATCGAGAGGAACCGAGATCTTTGGGTTATAAACTTACATTTCAAGTTTCAACAAAATCGGATTAAAATTGTGACCTCTATAGGGTCCACAACCCTGATATACCATATTTTTACGCTTTTTGAGAAATTCGAACTCAGCCGTTCTTAGGGTGTTAACGGTGATATAATAATATGTTTTTTTAAATCGGATAAAAATTATGACCTCTATAGGGTCCACAAGCTAAAAACGCGATTTTTCGTACAATCAGGGGTCATAATTCAGGAAGTTACTGTCCGATATGCGCGAATATCAAAAGGAACCGAGATCTTTGGGTTATAAACTTACATTTCAAGTTTCAACAAAATCTGATTAAAATTGTGACCTCTATAGGGTCCACAACCTTAATATACCATATTTTTACGTTATTTGAGAACGAAGGGCGGCCATTTTATCTGTCAGTTTTCAGTCGATTTTCAAAAAATTCAAACTGAGCCGTCCTTAGGGTGTAACGGTGATATAATAATACGTTTTTTAAAATCGGATAAAAATTATGACCTCTATAGGGTCCACAAGCTAAAAACGCGATTTTTTTAACAATCAGGGGCCATAATTCAGGAAGTTACGGTTCGATATGCGCGAATATCAACAGGAACCAAGATCTTTGAGTTATAAACTTACATTTCAAGTTTCAACAAAATCGGATAAAAATTGTGACCTCTGTAGAGTCCACAACCTTGATATACCATATTTTAACGCTATTTGTCTGTCAGTATTGGGCCGATTTTCACAAAATTTGAACTCAGTCGTCCTTAGGGTGTAACAGTGATTTATTTATACGGTCTTTTAAATCGGATAAAAATTATGACCTCTATAGGGTCCACAAGCTAAAAACGCGATTTTTTCGTACAATCAGGGGCCATAATTCAGGAAGTTACGATCTGATATGCACAAATATCGAAAGGAACCGAGATCTGTGGGTTATAAGCATACATTTCAAGTTTAAACCAAATATCAAAAGGAACCGAGATCTTTGGGTTATAAACTTACATTTCAAGTTTCAACAAAATCTGATTAAAATTGTGACCTCTATAGGGTCCACAACCTTAATATACCATATTTTTACGCTATTTGAGAACGAAGGGCGGCCATTTTATCTGTCAGTTTTCAGTCGATTTTCAAAAAATTCAAACTGAGCCGTCCTTAGGGTGTAACGGTGATATAATAATACGTTTTTTAAAATCGGATAAAAATTATGACCTCTATAGGGTCCACAAGCTAAAAACGCAATTTTTTTAACAATCAGGGGCCATAATTCAGGAAGTTACGGTTCGATATGCGCGAATATCAACAGGAACCAAGATCTTTGAGTTATAAACTTACATTTCAAGTTTCAACAAAATCGGATAAAAATTGTGACCTCTGTAGAGTCCACAACCTTGATATACCATATTTTAACGCTATTTGTCTGTCAGTATTGGGCCGATTTTCACAAAATTTGAACTCAGTCGTCCTTAGGGTGTAACGGTGATTTATTTATACGGTCTTTTAAATCGGATAAAAATTATGACCTCTATAGGGTCCACAAGCTAAAAACGCGATTTTTCGTACAATCAGGGGCCATAATTCAGGAAGTTACTATCTGATATGCACAAATATCGAAAGGAACCGAGATCTGTGGGTTATAAGCATACATTTCAAGTTTAAACCAAATCAGATAAAAAGTGTGACCTCTACAGTGTTCACAAGCTAAAAACGTGATTTTTCGTACAATCAGGGACCATAATCCATGAAGTTACAAATACTACCAGATCATTCGAGTTTTCTAAATATTTTACTTAAAAGATTGATAATATTAGGACTGAACATGAAACAGACAATAACTCCGAGACAACATGCCTATCAGTTATATCACCACCTTCTCAAGTTTTGTCAGAATTTTCCCCAACGTCAGACAAAGAAATCAAGCAGCTTGTTACCAAATCATCATCTTCGACATGCGAAGTTAGATCCGCTTCCATCGCCGCTTCTGAAACTGTGCATCGACGAACTGTGTCCTGTTCTTAGTTATATTGTGAATACATCATTGTCAACTGGCACCTTCCCTGATGTTCTGAAAGTTTTTCCTTTAATCAAAGATAGGATGCCAGGCAACGAAACATACGCCCACAGCAGCTATATTTTTACTTTTTTCTGTAATGAAACATTTATAATACATTAAAATCTGATTAAGAGTAACAACTCATTAAGTAATTATCAGAAAACAATTAGAATTTGTTTGGTTTTTATAAAGTTTGGGCACATGCTAACGTTTAGTATACGAAACTTTTAACGTCATGGATTTAGCTTTTCAAGTCATAAAGATTCATTGAAAATCAATATACTTGTTCGTCTCAAGACTTTAAACTCTGTGTATCAATCTGAAATCAATCGAATGATAACTTTAGCCTCTAGAGCATCACAAGATTTTTCAAAGTGACCAAGGGTCATAACTTTTGCAGTAATTATCTGAAATCGTTGAAAATCAATATGATTCTTCATCTCATGGCCTCAAACACTGTGTATAAATTTAAAGTCAATCGGATATTAACTTTAGCCTCTAGAGCGTCCACAAGATTTTTTGACGTGATCAAGGGCCATAACTCTGGCAGTAATTATCGGAAATCGCTGAAAATCAATAGGATTCTTCGTCTCATGACCTTAAACACTGTGTATCAATTTAAAGTCAATCGGATATTAACTTTAGCCTCTAGAGCATCCACAAGATTTTTCAAAGTGAGCAAGGGCCATAACTCTGGCAAAAATTATCGGAAATCACTGAAAACACTGTGTATAAATTTAAAGTCAATCGGATATTGACTTTAGCCTATAGAGCGTCCACAAGCAATTGTGGACGCCGGACCGCCGGACGGACGGACAGACGGGGGCGACAACAATATACGACCACAAAGAGGGTGTAAATGTATTACTTGTATCGTCTTGTCAAACAATTCATGGATTTCTTGAATATTATTATCTATATACATGTTAT